GAGAGTACGGTGGCGTTTCCGGTTGGCAGATCTAAGTTACTGGCAATTTTTAATGAGACTGAAAACAAGCAATCGTTTATTTATTTCATAAAACCTCATCACTGAATTATTAAATCAAAATTTGATTTAAATGATATAAAAAAAATAAGTTGTGATAACCGATTAAAAAAGTAAATGTGCGAATTATTTTCGTCATTCACCGATCTTAATATTGACGGAAGCTTCTAGAACATCATATAGCATCGAGGTCGGTGTTAAGGACATTGGCAAGTCCGGAATTTCCGGAGAAAAAAAAGGTTTAAAACATTAATTTTTCTTTTTACTTATGAAACAGTGATTGAGAGTGATCTCCCGTGTAGAATTCTCTAAGCGGTGAAAACCAATATATGTTACAGAGGTAAACACAAGCACGTGTACTTCCTTCAACGGGTAGATGAATATCTTTACAGCAAGTAATGGCTTTGTTGTACATTGTATTCAGGAGACAAAGAGCCAACAGGTCGTCATTTACATGTACCACAGTTATGCTCGGTATGCTGGGAAGGGGAAATATGTGACATATATTGAATGGTAGACCGACTGAGATCAGTTCCTAGGTTGTATGAAGGAAGCAGCATTTAGTAACTACGAATGAAAATTAAAATAAATCCATGCCATTATTTTTATGACAATGTGTTTCAATCAACTCAGTCAATTACAAGATAGAAACAATCAACCAGTCTGACTCTCTTGACTAAATTATGAATAATATATATGTGAAGGGAAGTAACTCAAAAATAAAGACTGGCGCCGGTATGTCCTTATCTTATTTCTATATATATAAATTTTCAGCCAGAATATCTAGAAGTCATAGGAAATGAAGATACAATAATGTATATAATACAAAAACTATATGAAATAAGTGGGTTTTGGAGAAATATTATGGTGAAAAATTATGTAGGTCCCTTTTATCAACATTTTACATAAGAAATGCATTGAGAATTGCAAAAACACTGATTTGACAACATCTAAAAAAAAGGGTTGGCTTGGTAGGTTAAACAATCCATGATGTAGCCTGTTTAGTACAATTAAACCTACTCAAGAGTTCTTGAAAAATTCTATACGATAACCAGGAACCTTGCCAAAGTCCTTAAAAAGAAAAACGAGGCAGTTAAATCTGCATGAACATAAAAAAAGCTTATGTGTGAATGGTCATTGAAATAATGGTAAATCATTGATAACACTATAAGTTGTGAATATACCGGTATTTATTTATCGAAAGACTATTGCATATATGTAGTAGGTTTTCTTAATAAATTTATCGGTAAAATTTATATATATTCCTTACTGAGAGCATCGTGGCAACGAATCCGAAGTACAATTTGTACTTCGTAATAAACTTGCTTACATGAAAAGAGAAAATTTATGAATAAGGTATTGTTCAAATACAATTAAAGCTGTAAAATTGTGTGCTTTAATCAATACATTTAAGTTTTTTTTTTTCTGAATACAGTCTTTTGTATCAAATACTCGGCATAGCGCGTTAAAAGCTAATTTTTACACAGATACTTGGGTCTTGGTTTATAAACTTGTATGTACCTAATTGATATGTAAGAAAAATAAAGTACATTTTTTACATATCAATAAGGTACGTACATATTTATAAACCAATATTTATAAACCTGTGAACCCCCCCCCCCCCAAAAAAAATCAATTTATCAGTAAAATGTGCATATTCGCTTCTTTTATCCTTGACGTAAATGAAATAAGAGCATTTGAAGTACAATATCCATAATATAGTAAAACAGGTCTCACAATAAACGTCAATTAATGAAATTTTTATTTTTTCAAGTTTTTACAAAAAAGGGGGGTGGGGTGGAGACGTACATCTACATCATGCGGGATTTTGAACAAAGTATTTCTTCCTGCTATAAACCTGTAGGCTGACAGTAGAAACTACAATATATTTTCTGTTGGTAGAGACTACCACTAGTGGGATAAATTCAATTCCCCGCTCTTGCGCGGGATTTCATCTAGTTACAAAAATTTTGACCGCACATCGGAACGGGATCCATCATTATTCGTGTGTCGCCCGCGTGGCGCAGTGGTTAGAGCGTCTGCTCTAGAGTCGCGAAGTAAGGAGTTGATCCTTACGTCGCGGGTTCGAATCCCACTGTGGGACGTGGAGACCGGTCCTTCGGATGAGACCGTATAAACCGAGATCCCGTGTCGCAGTAGGTGCTGGCACGAAAAAGATCCCTCACTGCTCAATGGCCGTAAGTGCCGAGTATAGGACAAAATTTGCAGTTCTCCACCGGCAAGTGGTGGCGTCTCCATATGAGTGAAAAATTCTCGAGAGGGACGTTAAACAACATACAAACAAAACAAACAAATCATTATTCGTGATTTTCCTATGCTTGTCGTCAATACCTTTAAGATATCGTACAATATAGGTCACACAACGATAATCTCTAGAAATAATGACCACTCCCTCGCCTGCTTGACGTTGAAAAATCGTGTTATACTGGCTTGTTTCAATTTGCAATTGTATGTATCCAATGTGACTAACAATGGTTTGGAAATTATGAATTTTTTCAGACGTTTCTTTTGAAAACAAGTAAAAATGTATTTGATGTGGCAGAAGCGCTCATGTGGAACATTCTCTAGGGTGTCATAACAGCATTTCGTTAGAGGTTCAGTCAAAATATGGTCGAAGCAGAATAAATTCCTATAATCCCCTTCCCATTTCGGATACGAGACGAACTTTTATATCAGATGAAAAACGGTATGTAAACTTTCCGATTATACCAGATTCATCAATATTTTTAGTGTGCTGAATTTTCAGTGCTGTATTTGAGAGGGAGTGATTGGGCCCTGGACTTGATTTTCAAGCCTTTGTTTGACTTCATGCATGCCTTGCTGGATGTTTATGTGTTTTTATTTGGTATTAGAAAATTGGTTTACAAGGCCTGTATCAACGGTTTCAAATTTGGGGGGGGGGGGCAAAAAAAAAAAATCGGACAAGCCAAAAAAAGAAAAAAAAAGAAAGAAAAAAAACAAAAAACCTAAACTGTCCAAAAAATGGAGGGATCATCTTTCCAAAAATAATCTGACGAGCAAAAAAAAAAAACAAAACAAAAAAACAAAAAAACAAAAAAAAAAAACAAAAAAACAACCCCTCCCCAAAAAAACCCAAAACAAATAACAAAAAAGAAACAAAGAAACAAACAATACAAAACAAAATACACACACATACACAATCACAGACATTTGCCAGTACTCGACCTTACGGCAACAAAAAGTATTGGGGGGGGGGGGGGCAACCAGCATCTAAATGAAAATTTACTGTAGCAAAATACTATATTTAGAAAAAAACGTTAGCAAAATACTTTACTGAGATACATGTATGAAAAATGTTTGTTTTTAATTTTTACCTATTTCTCAAAGTTGTGCACTTTCAGTGTAAGAATAAAAAAATCAACATGTATACTACGTCTTTGGTGAACAATTCCGTACGAGTTATTCACTCTTTGCCACAATGCAAATCTCTGTAGAATTCACAAGAACGTTTCAATCTATATATATTTTTTGTTTCAGTTGAAAGGATCTCAGAAGAAAGTAGAGTTTCACAAGATACTTCCGAAGACAAAGATACCGTGCTTGGAGGAGAGGATCCCGAGGGTGTGGAATGCCTTCAGTAAATTTGGTGCAATAGTAAACTACAAATGTATAAGATAATGAATGTAACTATATAAATGTATAAATAAAGTTTGTTCATGAAACAGGCACTTAAATCCCCTGTCTAGATTAATTTGTGAGGCTGTTGTTAGACTAGTTTCTGGATTACTAAATCTGTTTCATAAAAGTATCGATACAATAATTTTATTTTTCTCAAAATAAAACCCTACAATAATCGTATATTTTATAGATCCCCTAAGTTAAATAAATACAGCATGGTGCATATATTAAAAAGTTTGACTTTTTTTTTTGGAGAAATCGTCTAGAGTAATAAATAGGGCAAGACTCTCTGAAATTCTAAATAGAAATTGTTTTTCATAGCAGAACCAATATTTTGATAATAATTATTGTCAATTCAGACTTAAAAAAAACAACCTGAATTTAATTTAAGGTGTCATTATTCAGTAAAGTACAGGAAAACACGTGAATTACCACAAGTTTGAAGTTTTGTTACCATTACAGAAATGAAATAATCAGAGAATGCCTAAAATCTCTCAACAGATAACGTCGACATAAATTTAAAATCAGGTTCTGATTTTCAACATCAACTATTGTTCAAAATGAAAAAAAGGTCTTGAAATATGTATAATTATTAAAGTTCTGTACGAGGTCACAGTGGATCCAAGCAAAGAAGCCGTCTTAGATCGATTATAATGAATGACTAGATTATTTGAGGTGCAAATAGAGCGTTTTCTGAGCTTAATTTGAACATATCAATATATTAAGCTTCATTCTTGAACATTAAAGTCATCCTGGCATGGTCTGCAATCAATCACCAAAACAGAAAAGACTAGAGGGTATAAATCTACTAGTGATAACTCTATAACCTGTTGGAATGTCATCACTCGGTGTGGTATCTACATATGACCTCCGACCCTTAATTAATAAACCTCCAAACCTGTTCACATAAATCCTACACACCTTGTATTCCCTCTACCAAAGAGTCAGTATGGATTAGAAAACACGAGACATTATTGATGTGGGTCAAAACTTCCATGCTGCTTTTATTTTGTTCTAGGATCCATGTTTTGCATTAAAATCTGTTCCAATTGTTGAGAAAAGTGCAGTTCGACTGCACAGAAAAGCGCAGACACAATACAATACAAAAAGTATACCTAAACGATTTATTTGTCTTTCACACAAGATACAAAGTACGAGTTCAGTCATTTCAAAATATCACTAACTGAGGTGAAATTGCAATGCCATGATATATATATATATATATATATATATATATATATATATATATATATATATATATATATATATATATATAAACGATGGCAAATTAGTTATAGAATAAAACGTAAAACTGCATACATTGAAGTTAACAACCGAAACGTCAAAACGTACTCAATTATTAATAACAAAATATTTTTAATATCAGTTATAATAAATCGTCACTTTGGGAAGATAGAGTAATCTTTTTAAAAATTAATCTAGGGAGGCGTTTTATCTAAAAAAATTTTCTTCAAAGTATGATGAGCAGTAGGCATAAACATGTGACCACAGATACAGTATTTCAGCGTTGTTTTCATAATTCAGCAGTATATATGGAATTCCACTCATACACAGTATGTATACAGGAGCTCAAAGGAGTTCATGTAAAATACTAGTGTCATAAAAAAGAAGAAACAAATCTGGTGTCTCAATTTGAAGAAATCCTACAACTTGAATATAATAATAAAAGTACTTTTTTCCGGTAACCGTGACATACTCTCTGAACAGCAACGAAACAATAATGTATTTTAAACACAGAATTCTATTAAGCAACCTTTCAAACTGTCGACGAGTGAAGGGGCTTCAATAAAACACATAAGCATTTTACATAATGAAGGGCCTACTATCATTGAATCACCCTTGTATTCTCAATAAAATGTCTATAAAACAATCACAATAAATAAATAAAAATCCTATGTGTATATCATAAAGTTCATCCACATTGTAGTACAACAAATACTATACATAATTTAATAAAAAGACAAGATAAAATCTTATTCAATAAATAACAATTCACAAATAAGCACGTAAATGACGCTGTGGTCGGTGGCCATATTGCATCATTTAATTGGTTGAGACATTTGGGTTCCCGGATGATAGCGATTGTGGTGAATCAGCATCAAGCGCGACGCATGACGTCATGGAAAATATCACAATTTGATTGGTTCTGAGAGCCGAGTAAGCGACTTTGATGTCTCTCATTCAGGGTTATGCACATGACGTAATTTTTTTTATGACGTTACAGTCAAAAAAGTACTTCTTCAAATGTTTCATTCCTGTTGTCACTTTTCAGAGATGCAATTATCGTAACTTGGAGGATTTTCTACCTTCATTGTGTCAGTAACCGACGTCACGGGTGCCACACGCTCCCCTGTCAACCAGTACGTCGTTATCGTACCTTTACCCTGAAAAAAAAAGACGTCTCTAATGAGACTGTAGCTCTACTGATTTGAAATTAATAATTAATCATGTAAAGGAAAAGTTATACATGCACTTAGATTTGTTGCATTTCTTTTTTTTTCTTTATTATTTTTTTTTTTAGTTTTACATATATATATTTATATATAATAAACAAATTCTATCAAAATTTTCTTGAAGTGTAGCAATCTTTGTGGAAATTGAACCAAGTTTGCACTAGGAAAAGCATTTTGAAACGATTTCAAATTTTTTTCCTATTTATAGCACTAATGCCAAGTCTGTTCTCTTCGTTCTTTTTGTAATGAAAATCCAATGTACAAAATTATGTAATTTGTCTTTTATATATACTCTATACTTATGTAAAAGTATTATCATCGAAATCAGACCAAAAAAATATAAAAAGAGTCGCATTTCTGGGATTATTCTATTTTCAGTAGTCGTAAATGACAATTAAGTTTCGACAAAATCAAAATCCAATATTTAGTATAATGTATCTTTACATATCCTTTTTCATTAAGGTAAAATGTATCAGAAATGAACGAATTCAATTCACACATTACCCTATTTATAGTGACCATAACAACATCGTTTACCTTTACAAAAATCCCGGACTGATAAACTTTGTGTATCTTTTTGTAGTCTACATTTCTCTCACTTTTTTATTCAACTCAGACAAATCAGAGAAGCGTTTTGAGATATTTTTAGACAGAAGACATGGGCACTTTAACAATTCATCTATTTAAGGTTCATTGATACTCTGATAAGAGAGATAACTCTTAATGACATAAAATCTCTATTACTCCTTCACAAATTTGTCAAGTTGAAATGTCTTTTTTGTTTAATTTTGCCCGCAATCTATGGTATAATTGGTTGTAATATACTTATAAAATACATTTCTTTCGAAAAATCATAAAAGTTAAAGAAACATTTTATATGATTGTGCAGGGGTTTATGAACCCTTAATATCAAAACAACACTAGGGGAGATGATTTTAGAAAATGTTTTTATCTCTTGAAATGTTACGCATTTGGAAATATAAATATGTTTCATTTAGTGAACGATTATACGGAATCGGTTACATCATTACCTTCATTTCAACAGGTCCTCTTAGTTCCAACTCAAACGTTCCAAACGTGTCCAGTATTTTCTTTGTATCCGGACTCACGTGGATCCTCAGGGCTGGAAAAATTGAAAAAAAAACATGTCAAATGATGCGATACTTTAGTTTACAAGTGTGAAACAAGCCAATTGATGTGGTGCGTTAGTTAACACGTGTGAATCAAGTCAAATGATGCGGTACTTTAGTTTACACGTGTAAATCAAGTCAAATAATCGGTAATTTAGTTTACACGTGTAAATGTTTGATAATATTCAATTTCCTTGAGTAATGTAATCGTAAATAAAGAGGATCGAATGAATTTCTAGAAAATGCTGCTGTGTTTTGAAGTAAATTTCAGATATCTTATTATTTTAAATATTATATATGATAGTAAGATACCATGTACACCTTTAAACTTAAACATTTCATTAAAACGTCATCTTTTCCGGCACGGGTGGGTTTCAGTATGCTAAGCTCCCCACAAACCTTACTAAAACAATGGCCGTCATAAGCGATATCTTTTTGGCTACTTCAATTTTAACTCTAGATTCTAGCCAATCCGGTAAAAGCTTTCAAACTGCAACCCCGTATCCATTATCAACAAGAAAGAGGTGTACATGTATATGAAAGAAGAATTTGGATAATTGCAAGAAGTAATTAAAGGTTTATCAAGGCACGAAAATAGAGGTAAGGTGAGTATATAACGTGCATGGGTAGTAAATCGTTTATTCTAGACTTCTTTCCGACTTGTGCAATCAACTAATAGTACATACTCATATTCTCTATGACATCACGACATGACAGCTGTTTTTTCATTGGTTCCAAGGATCTAGCTAGATACGATTAAAATATCGGACCCCGATTTATTGGAGTAATCTGCCAAGGGTTTGTGACGGAGCAAAAATTCTTGGCTTGCAATGTCAAAAAAGGTTTTCTCAAGAACAATAGAGTAAGATCTGATCTTCTGAACTAATGGCTTAGGCAGACTTACGTAGTCCATTGGACTCCATTCTAGAGGCTGTGTTGACAGTATCTCCAAACAAACAGTACCGGGGCATCTTCATCCCCACCACACCGGCGCACACGGACCCTACAACACAGCATCATGGCATATAATGTACATTAAATATGAATTATGGTATACAGTCATGCCATGTGATCATACATTGTCACATAGTATCAACTGGACACGACGAGCTACAGGTCAGGGACATATTTTGTCTTAAAAATATTGATGAAACCCGGACATATATGCTTGATATATCTTGTCTATATTCAGACAAAGCTTTAAAGAAACACTGTCTAGTTTGTTGGGTATGCCAGGGCATTAACGACAATTTGAAACATTGGATAATTAGCATGTAAATATCGAGCAATCAACAAACTTAACTTTCACAGAAACCAGTTGGAATTGTAAATATAAAAATAGCCCTTCCCTTCCATTTCTCTGACAAATGTTATAAACGATTAACAAGTACTTCTTTTTCATTTTCAACATGTGGGTTATCGTACCTGAATGAATTCCAATACGGAGCTTTAACTGTTCTTTTGGTCTGTGTCGTATTTTGAAAGACAAAGTTTCGTTTAAAAGATTTAATGCCATTCTCGAAATTTCACGTGCATGTAAATTTCCATTTCTTGTGGGTAAGCCAGACACCACCATGTAAGCATCACCTATTGTTTCAACCTGTAGGAAGAAGTTCGTTGACATATGATGCTATCTTTACTTAGAATCGAATACAAATACTGATTATTGTTAGAGGTAATTGTGTTAGAGATGGGTGTCAACATACCTTGTATACATCAAATTTCTCAATAACGGTGTCAAACGTTGTATAGAGATCATTTAACAAATCAACAACCTGAAATTACAGAAAAGAGTACTTCAACCATTATACGTTTCTAATAGGACTGGATTAATAACTGGGTAGGTCGGAAACTCTTTATTATAGTAATTAAAGTATTTTTGAAAAATATGTACGTTTCTTTTTTATTTCTGTAATGTATGTTTACTATTTGAGTTTGGGCGACAAACACCTATCAGACTTGAAACATGAGGTCCATGGCCCACAACGTTCACCTGAAAAAAAACTTTGCTCTTTTGTTTTTTATCAGCAGATTAATTTCTTTTTTCATTCCTATGTTAAACTTAGATCATATATTATGGCCCAACCTTACCCCAGGGGATCAAGATTTGAACAAAATTGAATTTATAATGCCACATTAATATGACTAATTATAACTTTGCTGTTCTTGAGAGGACGATTTTGATAGATTTATTTCCTAAATACTAACATGTAAAACATATAAACCTAGATTTATATGATGGAGAAAACATTACAATTTACGTGTGCCATGTAAGATTAGGGCTCTGAAAACACATAAAAACAAGATGTGTTTGTGAAACACTGATGCCCCCGTATGGCAGCTTATGGCGAAGGTTAAAGTTTCTCAAATGCAAGTCAAAATCCAGGCCAAAAGATAAAAAATGTTAAATTTGAAAGCCCTAGCTGCAACTGTTCAAAAGTTATGGCGAAGGTTAAAGTTTTTTAAAAGTAAGTAAAACATCAAGGTCAAGGTCAAAGTTGTTGGTATCCAAAGGAGGGTCTTGTCACAAGGATTACATATGTAAAGTATGAAAGCCCTAGCACCAACCATTCAAAAGTTATGGCCAAGGTTAAAGTTTTTTGAAAGTAGGTCAAACTCCTATGTCAAGGTCAAAGGGTCAAAGTGATTGGTATCTAAAGGACGGTCTTGTCACAAGGATTACATATGTAAAGTATGAAAGCACTAGCACCAACCATTCAAAAGTTATGGCCAAGGTTAACGTTTTTTGAAAGTAGGTCAAACTCCTATGTCAAGGTCAAAGGGTCAAAGTGGTTGGTATCCAAAGGAAGGTCTTGTCACAAGGATTACATATGTGAAGTATGAAAGCCTTAGCACCAACCATTCAAAAATTATGACCAAGGTTAAAGTTTTTCAAAAAGTAGGTCAAACTCCTATGTCAAGGTCAAAGGGTCAAGAGGTTGGTATTCAAAGGAAGGTGATGTCACAAGGATTACATATGTGAAGTATGAAAGCCCTAGCATCAACCATTCAAAAGTTATGGCCAAGGTTAAAGTTTTTCAAAAGTAGGTCAAACTCCTAGGTCAAGGTCAAAGGGTCAAAGATGTTGAGATCCAGAGAAAGGCCTTGTCACACGGAATACACATGTGAAGTTTGAAACCCCAAGCACCAACTGTTCAAAAGATATGGCCAAGGATAAAGTTTTTCAAAAGTAGGTCAGACTCCAAGGTCAAGGTCAAAAGGTCAAAGTTGTTGGTATCCAAAGGAAGGCCTTATCACAAAAAATACACATGTGAAGTTTGAAATCCCAAGCACCAATTGTTCAGAAGATATGGCCAAGGATAAAGTTTTTCAAAAGTAGGTCAGACTCCAAGGTCAAGGTCAAAAGGTCAAAGTTGTTGGTATCCAAAGGAAGGCCTTATCACAAAAAATACACATGTGAAGTTTGAAATCCCAAGCACCAATTGTTCAGAAGTTATGGCCAAGGTTAAAGTCTCGTAAAATTTTGCAAAAGTGGGTCAAACTCCAAGGTCAAGGTCAAATATGACGGTACCCAGAGAAAGGTCTTGTCACAAGGAATACACATGTGAAATATGAAAGTCATAGCTCCAACCAATCAAAAGTTATGGGCAAGGTTAAAGTTGACAACAGACAGACAGACGAACAGATAAACAGACAAACAGACAGACAGGACAAAAGCAATATACCCCCGGGATCTTTCGATCCGGAGGCATAAAAATTCTCAATAAATAATATGGATTTCAAAGACATATATTACAAAAAATTACTTCAAATGGTGTGGTTGCTGAAGATATGACAATATTTCTACACACCTGGAATGACATAGATTCAAAACCGGAAATTGTGCGGATTCTGACACGATTCGTTGTATTACTGACCTGGAACCGTGTGAAATCTAAATACATGATTCTAACATTCATCTGGAACTTTGTGGATTATGGAGTCACGATTGTAACACTCACCTGGAACTTAATGGATTATCGAGTCACGATTGTAACACTCACCTGGAATGGTGTGGATTCTGAAGACATGGCAGTAAAGCCACAAATATCACTAAAGTAAATAGTCACACATTCAAAATTCTCCGCAGCAACAGACTCCCCACGAATTAACTGCCAAGCTACGGACCTGAAACGATTAAATTCATGTGTATGAATATTTTTGTAAAACATACAATTTATAAATAAATTTGAAACGAAATTAAACAAAAATTGATATTTATCTAAGTCACTTGATAGACTTAATATTCACAGTTATTATGGCTTTTAAATATAAAGATATACATTTCAAAGTTTAAAAAACACATGGACAGAGCATTTTGTAGAGAGTTGATTGCTCATTTAAATCCTCCTGTGTACGATATCAGTTTTGCTGATAGAACAGATTGAGTTTATCATGGACCTATGACTGATATGCAACAAACAATTACAGCAAAACATATCGACCGATTAAACTGTGCTGATCCTATTTATGATTTTGCAACCGATTGTGCTCATATGATGAACTCAACCTTATTTCAAGTTTAGATAAATTTTATTCATAAGTTTTTAAGGAAAACTGCAAATTTTACCTCTGAAACATAATAGTTGTTTTTAGAAGTCATATAAGAAAACCTATTAGGAATGTGCATACAGCAAACGGCAGTTTAGTCTATGAAAATCAAATCAAAATAGTAAGAAAAGTAGTCCAACATATTCATTATATCAAATTTACTTAGCAGTGAGGAAACTTTTGAGAATTAACCATCCTAAGAACATTTTCGAATAAAAATTGTAAAAAAGACAATAAAATATAATTCACAATGAACAGAAATTTCGCAGTTTAAGGTAATTCACATGAAAAACAAAAGCAGAAACCATACCATGACGTCACATACTTACTTCGGAAGCATTAAATATAAGAGATCCTCGGCCTTTTTCTTCTGCTCTAGGTAGTCGGCCGTCCTCTCCTGCACCAGCGCCTCCAAGTTGTTGGCGTATTGCTCCATCCGGGACAGTAAGTTGTCAAGGATATTGCCCTTATCCCCATCTCTGTAAACAGCACGTGACAGAAGTATAAACTTTCAGTGATTTTAATCTTTTTTTTTATTTCTAATGCAAACAATCCAAATGGCAAAACAAATGAACATTCGATGTTACCTATGTATCATCAATCCACAATTCAAGTTTTGAAAATGTGACAAATAAATAACAGTATAGACTTACTTATTTAATTTTCTGATTATGGATTTCAGGGCCTGAAAATCTGGTCGCTCCATTGGATCCTCCGCCCAACAACGTCTAATGACGTCAGCAAGTTCGTCACAAGGACAATCACACTCCTCTAATGATGGTCGGAAATATGGTTTTATTCCATTCTTTACTTTTTCATAAATCTCTGTGAACGAGTAATGTTCGTATTTAGTCACAATACTGCGTATCACAGTATTTCAAAACCTATATATAGATTCTACTGACAGCAACTGCTGAATACAGTGACAATTGTTTGACAAACTCCGGCTATAAGGTCATTCTATACGTAACATCAGTTTATGAACTGTATTAACCGTCTCTGAACTATATTCCCAATGGAATAACTTATTTGTAGATGTACGTGCGTGATCTTGCTCTAATAACTGTTTTTCGTGCCAGTTCTACATAGGACAGAATCTGAAACTGTGGTAATTATTGGAAGTAAATGAGAAAGAGAAGATATACAGTGTTGCTTTACAGCTCTGGGCCCCGGACCAAATCAATATATTTTTTTTTTACCCCCACAAGCTTGTTTCTGCTTTTGTGTAACCGTAGATTGTGACGAGTTCAAAATATCAATTAATCAATATGCGGTCAATTTACTTAACAGAACATAAAAGTACGATCTTTATTTTAGAAAATCCTCATTCCGCAAGCAGTATGTGATCATTTTTCCGTTTAAGGCAAATAACTGCAAAATTCCCGAGTAATTTCCAGTGGATTTGAGCTGGCATACTAAGTAATCTTATTCCAAACTCCCTACGAAATTATACATGTATTCAGGCTATAAGTTCACCTTAGCTCTGATGGAAATCTGTTGGGCGTCCGTTTATCTGCCATCTTTTCATATTTTACACGTTTATCCTCCAATAGAGGATAAAGTTTGCAACCAAACTCAACACAAAGCACGTTAGGGTAAAGATCATTCAAATTGATGTCTTTAAAATGAATGTCAAGTCCGTATAAAAGGGGGATCAAAATTTGCAATTTCTATTGGTGTCATTTAAATAAACATTGTACTAGAAGAGGCGAAACATAGGTGAAAGAGTCCATCATATTTGTTATTTATCGCTGTTAACAGGCGCTTTCTTAAATATAAAAAAGGGATATTATTTGTACTAGTATGACATAAATCTGAAGGAAAAGCTTCAAAATCTGACGATCAACTGGACGATTGTTACACTAATGTGTTGAAATTAAAGTGTTGCTCAAATCAAGGTCATGAGACTCAATGTAATAATGGAGTCAAAATTAACTGGAATACATTAGAACTTAATTTAAAAATCTTCTGTTCAAAAGCAGCAAACCCACATGTACATGTAGTTATTTTATGCAAGCATCTCCATGCACATTGTAGTAAGATACTAATTCATCAATATCACAGCTCATTGGGGTTAGGTTTGGGCAAAAAATAAAGGACCAAAGTAAACGAGAAAATTAATTTTTAAAAGAATTTTAGAATAAGCAGATCTTCAATTAGTCACTTTAATATGCGAGCAAACTCACTTGGTGTAATTCAGACCTGTTCAAACCATTTCCCCTGAGCTAGGGCGAGGCCTTAATAAAGGGTCAGATTTGGTTTTATTTGGAAACAATCCGACAGAAAACTTTTTAAAATTTTTCTCATAGCAGAGTTATTCAGAGCAATCATTCGGGGCGCGGCTTTCAAATGTCTGTAACTGGAGCCAATGAAAGTTCCAAATTCAAGAGGCACTTTCTTTCTAACTGAATGTGTTTTTCCCAATTTTCATCCCCCCCCCCTCCCAAATAAAAGAACTTACATGTATATTTGGATATATAGTAACTAAACATTCTAATCATGTTTCTGTATATTGTAAAACATGATATAAAGTTGATATCAAATCATCAGACACTCAAGATATGAGGGGTTTTAATTGATAATGATTCCCGAAGTATTCCCCAAAAATGTCACTTATCTTCCCAATTGTAACAGCCCTGGCTCTAACACCAAAACAAGTTGTGAGAGAGCTCTGTCATTCTTTTATGAGACAAATGAAACAGTACCTGAGGGTCCCAAGTCAAAGTTACTTAGGTAAAACACTCCCATTCTGTATACGATCTCCTGACATATAATGGCAAAGCTGTATACGTCTCCTTTCTGTGTCCCTTCCGGTGGTCTTTGGTGCATGCGCAATAATTCCGGTGCCGTCCAAAGGAAACCTTAAGTATATTTAAGGCATTTCTATGATACTCAGTAAAGACATAAGGTAATTCTGCATTTTAAAGTTATATGTATGTGTAAGATTTAACCCATAATTAAGTGTCAAACAGCACAACAATATGAAAAAGCTCCTTTTGTCCGTAGATTATCTTACTTCTGTAGTAGGCATAAGAGCCCTCTTCCACATCCGGGTCAGGCGTCCTTAAGGCATGTAGACCAAAGTCCGTGATTTTCAAAACAAATCTACCATCCACCACACAGTTAGTACTCTTAAGGTTACCATGGGAACGAATTTCACTACTATGAAGGTAGGACATACCCTGTAATTAATCAAAATCAGTAAGTATATCTGATTGACTTTCCTAAAAATTGAGTCTTTAACGAGTGTGTTCGTTTCCAATGTTAACTGACCCGAAGAATGTCTTGCATGAGTGAATATCGGAACATCCAGTCCAGTTTAATTTGTTCATTTTCCAGAACATCCTGTAGACTTCCTTTCTGGCAATACTCGGTGACAATACACATATTTGGCGGATCAATACATGCCCCTAGAAATCGCACAATGTGGTCATTCTGCAAATCTTTAACCTGTCATTAAAGAACAAATATGAGTTCCTTTTTTAATATCTGTACATAACCGTTTTATATCTTTTTATATACTTTGATAATCTAAGATAAAGATTTTCGTGATCGGTTCGAGTACTCACCCGTTTTACCGCCATTAACAATGGTTTATTAATGTTAATGCTACTTCGGTTGATTCTTTTGATCGCCACAATGGCGCCCTGAAATGAAGAAATACATTATACTCTTGACTTAATTACACTGGAAGCTCTTCTCCAAAGCAAGATGTTTTAATGCATGTAATAGACAACTTTTTAAAACAAATGTAAATAATACATTTCTTACTGATACACGTTTTTGCTAAAATTATGTGTTAGCAATGCTTATACTATTTCTAAGAACGATAACTCTTCACGCGCGGGTGTGTTAAGTTCAGACAAAGCGAAATTTTTTCATCTTTTCAAAACATCTTCGCAAGATCTATTTCAACTCTTAAAATGATTTTTAAAAAAGAGAATTAAATTGAAATCAATATAAAAAAGTTCTCTTTATTTCATAATAATGTTACATTTCTTACAGAGGGTTCAATACTTTGAACGATGACGTCACAACTGTATCAAAGCAGAATTTGAAGACGGCGCAGTGTGGAGCCATACAAAGGGGGTTAAGAAGCAAATACCATGTATATTGTATATGATTTATTGGAAATAAGGTGGATTAATCAGGTCTATTGATTTTATTGTCGTCGGTTATTTTTTTCCAATGAAGACAAGCATCCGTGACCTCCGTGACATCCAGGTCAGGATTTCCTCTGACATTGTTGACAACAACACAGAATGCAATATTTATATAAGTAATGAACTTATATACGCCTAACGGGCGTCATGGAATAAGTCTGCAGAGGAAATGTTGTTCATAACACCAATTTCACTGAAACAACGTTGTTCATTTCTTACATAAATGACAGGTACCTTTTTTTTTTATAGTTGTCGGTTTGTATAAGTTATTAATCATGTAGTATGTTAGTTTGTTCATGTCAGTCACCAATTCCATAGTTCTCAGTTCGTGGTACATATAGTGATTTATCATGTAGTTGTCAGTTTGTAAATGACAGTTTCTTTACTATTAAAGTTGGCAGTTTTTGGTAGTTACTGTTAGTTTATGGCAGTTACCTATCTTGTTGTTAGATTGCAGTAAGCAGTACAAGTTACCTATTTTGTTGTTGTTAGATTGCAGTAAGTAGTACTAGTTACCTATTTTGTTGTTGTTAGATTGCAGTAAGTAGTACTAGTTACCTATTTTGTTGTTGTTAGATTGCAGTAAGTAGTACTAGTTACCTATTTTGTTGTTTTAAGTTTTGGATAGTTACCTATCTTACAGGCACTTTGTAAAAATTCAAGCAGGAAGCAAGATGTTTGTAAACATAATCTTGTAGAAGTTATATGATGATAAAAACGTTCTAGTACTAGCCAGTTTTTAACCCTTTTTTGTTTTAGCCAGCTTGTTAACATTTTAATTGGTACTAACCAGTTTCTGATAATTACTTTTACCTGTCTATATATAGGAATGTTTTTACGGGTTACCTGCCCTGTGGGAACCAGTTTTTTTCCAGACACCCACCTTGTAGTATCCCGTTTTTGTGTACAGTTGTCTCTGGGCCACGTCACTAAGATGGACAGCTATTGTGTCACCAGAGCAGTCGCTAGTCACGGAGTTCCGCTATAATGAAATTCAACTCAAAATGCAAGAACATAAATTACTCTGATATCTTAAATCAAATCAATATATTGGAAAGGCATCTTTTTTCCCTTTTTTTTTAAACGTACACCTCTCTCTCTCTCTCTCTCTCTCAAATGAATAAAACTCAAAACTTTTGCCACTTTTTTATTGAATAAATAGTTTTTACATCGAAAATAATACCAAAAATAATAATTAATTAACTATGTAATTAGAAATTTTGGTTTATTAAGAAGCATATTTAAATCAAAGTCAGGAATGTACGTAAAAGAAACACTACACTAAATAACCGAGGTATTTATTAATGTTTAACTTTATGTACAGAAATATGTTTTCAATACGTTGTAAATGTATAGAATTATACTCAATGTATTTATTACGATATTTTTTCAAAAGTGAACTTTCCAATAAAAGCCCCCAAAAGGTATACGGTACTTCATACATATTTATAAATATGTGTATGATACTCCAATCCACAATAGTTACTTTGTAAAACAATCATAATTTATACTATATTTTCAAATCCTAAATTAAATAATTAGTTATCATGGTTATTTTTCATTTTTTATGTTATTATTAATAAACATAGATAGAGTTTGGTCAAGTATTCCAGTTTAATTAAAAAAATATTTTTCTTGACATGTTGATTAAGTCTAAAGGGAACACACAAACAATAGTATCACAAACACATGGAAGACAAGCAACTGAGGGACTCGTCAATACAATTCAGGCACCTCAGTAATCTGAGGGACTCATCAATACAATTCAGGCATCTCAATCTGAGGGACTCATCAATACAAATCAGGCACCTCAATAATCTGAGGGACTCATCAATACAAATCAGGCACCTCAATAAACTGGAACAGGTATGAGCAAATACTGCAGGAAAATGATTAACAAAAGGTAGCACATACTTAGCATTTTTTTTCAAAAGATTGAGCATAAAATAAGTAAAAAGGTAATCTAATGATATCCCACATACATGTAGCATTACCCAACAAATTTTCAAAACTATTAAACTGGCAAACATGGAGCACGAATATCATATAGTCAAATATAATGTATATATATGTATAATTATATATATGTATAAATATTTAAATCTTTATTTTCAAAAGGAAGTGACACAGTTGTCTCCCTGTGGTTATATCTAGGAAGGAGCCATTGTAAATCATTGTCACATTATGCTATAGTGTCAAGGGGAATAACTCCAGTCACAGAGGACTCGTTGACACTGCCTCCGGAGTTACCGTCCGTGTTATCATCCGGGAACTCTATCCTTATGGCTCGTGACACACAAGAAGGGACGGCCATTCTGCTCTCTTTCTTCAGCCTTTGTCCTCGATGCATCCAACATAAAAACTGGCGCGTGGCCATCAGCCTCAATTTGCTGAAAATATAGAATGTCATTAAGGATGCTGGATCGGCACTTGGTTGATCCAGGGCATTCAATGAATATTCTAGACAATCAGCGTTACTGACTTCGATTGAGTTAAAAAAAATAACGTAAACAAGATTACCGCATAGGAATCATAGCAGTTTCACGTTCACGTATTTATTTAAAAATAAAAACTCTATGGTCAAAATTCAAAAAAAAAAAAGAAGAAGATAGAATGAAACTTACCACGCTGTTAGATTGACGGGAGCCACGCCCCTCTGTCGACGAATGAGCATCACGTGAATGAAAACAGCCAATAGGACATCACGATTCAAAACTACATCTCGAAATTCTTTGTTTGATGTAATGCATCTTCCGCCCTCTTGGAGTATTCCATATAGTTCTAGCTGTCTGCAGCAGACCCGCTTTGTGGGAACCTCTGCAGCCTCGCACTGTCCGCATTGACACCAGTCCAGTTCATGCGCATCTGACCGTTCTATCAGCACGCGCCCTTCTGCGCATGCCTCTCCATTTGTCGTCTGTGGAGGAAACAGGGCTGCCATGGTATTTTAGTTTAACGTTTGTAATATATCGTTATAATTACCACGAAAAACGCTCTATATCGTTTTTATCTTAACATTCTACGAAATTAATCAATCTCCTCTTTGATAGCAATGTCATATGAACCATGTAGTAAATCATGAAGAGGTATACGAGACTCGAAACTTACAATAATAAAAAAAAGTAAAAGGGATTAACATATTATTTCATATGTTAAACTGGAAAATTATTATGAAAAAGAAACATTTTCAGGTAGTTTGAAATGTTATTTCATATTTAAAAAATTCGAAAAAAGAAAAAAAAACTGTGATCTAGGCAAGGCGTTAAAAATTAATTGTTAATCAGTAAACAACACCTGTGTCTTCCAAATCGATCGATAGAGAAAAACAGTTTGTACAAATATATTAATAATAAAATATCTCAGTTCTCTATTTAGAAATAGATAAGGTATCTGTATATGTAGACAAATTATTCTTGTTGCCAGAACAATAATTGAGTTCAATGGCTGACCTACCCTGGTCAAACTGAGGTTGCTGCCTTGACGCCTCATTTTTCGGTCGTTCTCCATGGTGCCGAACATGATATCATCCCAACGCACGCGCCAATTCATCTCCGCCAATTCTGCTTCAAGCTTTATATGTCTAAAAACAAAATATGAAAATCAGGATGTGGTACATGTACAGTGCTTCTTTTACGAATATCAAACTCGTGATGAGATTTTGGCATATAGGTGTATATAAAAAAGACAAAAAAAACTTTTGAATGACGGACTAAATCCCCCAAAAAGGCGAGACATGTATGGAAGGATGGATGGATGGAGAGAAAAAGAGAGAGAGATTAGATAGTATATATGTAGTACCCAAGAGACAAAACAGTAAAAAACAAAAAGAATTTCAGGAAACCCTTAATGTTCAAGTTCTCTACTGATCTGGAGATAAAAAAAGTCAAACCACTGAAGGAAACACGTTAAGTATCTAAGAAATACTTAATTAATGGGTCTCTACACACACCAATCTTTTGCTAAATTAACATTCAATACTTCAGCGCATGTGCGAGTTCTTAAACCTTGTGACTTTAATGAAGCATATGAGCTTCCATGCATCTTCAAGTTTTTCTCAATCGATGCAGTACAGAAACATATATAAAACCACAATATAAATCTCCATAATCTATTAATCACTTCGTTACTGGCTCTTCTGCATGATGTAAGCAGAGGTTACCGAACCTTAATGCCAAGCTTTTTGTTATTTTTTTTAAAATCTCGGTATATTCCGAAGTAAAATAAGGAAAACCAAGATTTTCGATGGATAGTGACGTCATACATGTACTTTAAATAGTGAATTAAATATACCGGGACTTGGGTTTCATGTATAGAATTTATCGATCAGGGTATTTACAGCGTACAAGTCAGAATGCTGTGGATTTTCATTATAGTATTAAACTATCTTTACCTATTGTTAAATGGATTACAAGCTGAGACTCTAAAAACTTCGTTATTCTACTATTGTTTTAATGATCTTTTTATCAGTAAACTTTTACATACATAGACCTATTAACACCCAGTCTATGAGCTGGCCCGTATAGAGTCCTGATGGTATATCTCCATTACTGACACACCTTCACAAGTAACAAACACTTAACTATTCTAATAAAACAATTAATTTAATTTTAATAAATTAAGCGTCCTTAGGAAACCGATTAAAATACGTCATTTTAACTGAAAACAAAAATTGATGACCCTGTTTATTGATTTATGACCCTCTTCATTGATTTCTACTTTGGGACACGGAATACTTGAGACATTTTCGATTTTAAACATCGCCTTTTCTTTCTTTTTCTTAACTCCGATCATTCTTATGAGTTTCTCTAATATAATCATTTCCCAATTTTGGTTTTATTTGATAGGAGTAAGCTGGAATATTAAATTAGGATTGACAAAATAATTCCCCTTAATGAACGACGTCTGCAACGCGCTCCGACAGCTTATGGCGTTTATTTTCTCCTCTAACAAAAATCAGACAATCTCAGCTTAAATCCACTTTAAAAAAAACAATACACTTGCGCAGTCACATCGAATTTAAGAAAATCACTCAAAGTAAAACCGACAAATACATCCTATCGTCCCTTAATAAATAAAACCCACAAATATCTTGTATCGTTCCTCAATAAATTATCGAGTTATTTTCTGACTAACTTAAATAAATACAAGGATGCAAGCTTTCATAGTTTGTTTTTAAATAAAGAACTTTTCATGGGAAAAAAACCCATGTCCCTGAAAGCTTTTCATCAGAAAAAACCAGTAATGGTTATCGTTTGCCACAATCCTTATGGTGTATATATAAGTAGTAAACCTTAAGATTTACTTATCTTGATTTTGGTTTTTGGTGTTTTTTTCTAAAAGTTCATCATAATTAAGTAAATCTACTGAAAACTCGAACCTGGCTGATAGCAGAGGATAGTAGAGGACAAAGGTCAGATTCCTAAATATAATAGTTATGTCTGTTTTTCCCTTGTAACCTACCTGTATATAAAGAAAGCGGCCACAAGGACTATTATAACCTACCTGTATATAAAGAAAGCGGCCACAAGGACTATTACAAGCAGAGTACCCAAAACTATGATCACAATACCATACTCCGGGAAAGGCTCTAAAACAAATAGCACACAATCAATTTTATAATGTTCAAACTTTGAAATTTTAAATTTGAATTTCGTTAGAAATTTCATCTCAGAATTTAAATGAAAGACATTTATAAGGATAAATATATGTATGAAAGGTACTAATATTATATAATTAAATGATATAATATACAAATAAAACTCGATGCAGTTTCTTAAAGACATTAATCAAATTGACTGTTCTTTAGAATATCAATTATTCAAACTAATCAGTAATGAATGATTATGAAAATGTAATAAAGCTCTACTTTCAGGAGGGCATTTGGCGCCGTCAAATCCACACTTGGGTGTATCCGGGGGCGCTGATTTCCTGTTTCCAGCCCAGTGTATTTTCTTCTTACGGACCGGCATATACTTTTTGTCTTTACCAAAATAATTAGCCACCACCTGTAAAAAACAAGAGGCCCATGGACCACATCGCTCACCTGAGCACCGTTGGCTAGGAAAGCGCAGAAATTAGTTCAATATTGAAAACCCTAAATTTATAATGGTCTGGTCCCAATACATTATGGGGGGGGGGGGGGGGTTATGATTTGAACAATCTTAAATTTTTCTTTGATTTCTAATGGCGTTAGAAGATTTTTAAAGATAATATTCCTATAAGTTTTATCTTCTACTTCCCCTCCCCCTCCACCCGTGTTATTGATTGATTTGAACAATCTTGAATCTACACTATCTGAGGATGCTTCTATATCAATACGACTAATCATTGCTTCGTTGTTCTCGAGAAAAGAATTTTTAATGATCTTTCCTATATATTCCTATGTAAAACTTTGATACCCTACTGTGGCCCAACCCTACCCCCAGGGATCAAAATTTAAACCTACACTATCTGAGAATGCTTCTATATAAATATGACTAATCATACCTTTGCTGTTGTTGAGAAGAAGATTCTTAAAGATTTTTTTCTATATATTCCTTTTCAAAACTTTGATCGTCCATTATGGCCCCAACCTACCACCTGGGGTCATGATTTGAATCTACACAACCTGAGGATGGTTCCATATCAATATGATCAATCATGATTTTGCTATTCTTGAGAAGAAGATTTTTAAAGATTTTTCCAATGTATTCCTATGTAAAACTTTGATGATTCATTGTGGCCCCATCCTACCCCCAGGGGTCATGGTTTCAACAAACCTGAATCTACACAACCTAAGGATGCTTCCATATCAATTTGACCAATCATGGCTTTGCTGTTCTTGGGAGGAAGATTTTTATAGATTATTTCCTGTATGTTCATATATAAAAATTGGATCCCCAATTGTGGCCCCACCCTACTCCCTTGGGTAATGATTTGAAGAAACTTGATTCTACACTACCTGAGGATGCTTCCTTATGAATATGACCAATCATATAGGCTTTGCTGTTCTTGAGAAGAGTAATTTTAAAGATTTTCCCCATGTATTCCTGTTTAAAACTTTGATCGTCCTTTAGGGCCCCACCCCATCCCCAGGGGTCATGATTTGAATAAATTTGAATCTACACTATGAAATAAAGGTTTCAGATAAGTTTCAACTTTTCTTACCGAATGGTTCTTGAGAAGAAGGTTTTTTAAAGATTTTTTTCCTTCATATCCGTATGTAAAAATTTGATCCTCCATTGTGGTCCCACCTTATCCCCCGGGGTCTTGATTTGAACAAACTTGAATCTTCACTACTTGAGCATGTTTTCTACATCAATTTGACTAACCATGGCTTTGTTGTTCTTCGGAAGAAGATTTCAAAGATTTTTTCCTATATGTTTCTATGTAAAACTTTGATCCCAAATTCTGGCCCCGCCCTACCCCAGTTATTCGTGATTTAAACAAACTTATATCTAAACTACAAAAAAAATATTTCACACAAGTTTCATCGTTTCTGGCTATCAGCCAAGGATGCTTTGTAGCAAGTTTGGTTAAAATTGGTGCAGTGGTTCTGGAGAAGAAGTCGAAAATGTGAAAAGTTTATAGACGGACGGACGGACAGACAGAGAGACGCCGGACAAAATGTCATCAGAAAAGCTCAGGTAAGCTAGAATTAACACAAATTAGCGTTGCTTCAAATACCACACAGAACAGTGAACAAGACATCTTGTAAACTTCAACAACGGAAAATTACAATTTGTAACCGAAAATTTAGGTAAATATAAAAAACATTGTGATGTTTCTGCAGAACATTTTGATAGTTCATAAAAGGAGCATTTCTTTTCCAAAAGAAAAAAAGATTGTAAGGAATGTTGATAGAAATCAAAATCGATTATCACATGCACTTACTTTAAAATAATAAACACTGATATACTAAATATTCTAGTAAAAAGGTCGGAAAATGATTTTCGACAGTATTAAAAACAGATTTGTTCCGACTACATCGGAAAGACATATTGATGTACTTCATGTCTGGATACCTCAAATTTTCCAGTCGTCGGGTTCATGTCCAGTAGAGAATAGTCGGCATTTCTGTCGCCATTAACATCAATGCTGACAGTTCCGGTGATACCTATGCATGACATTAGAATTGATTTGCATTTCTGAAATTCCACTTCAATAATTGATTCTATCTCAAACAAAATTCTATGGAAAAAAACAAGTATTATATAATGCATTTTTTTCTTTTTCCATGTTCATGGCTGAAGTAAATTTATAATCAATAGTGCAATGCTTATTTTATGCATATTATGACTTTCTATCAGGTACATAATGATGCAAAGAAACTTTTGATATTAGATATTTACCTGATCGACCAAGATCGATATGATTTAATATAATTTACAGAGAAAAAGAACGTTGTAATTGTAAGAATGCTTACCTTCAAATGTTCTGTTCCACATCCGATGGGTGATTTCTGTGCCATTTGTAATGGAGCGGTTGTTGGCAAGAGTCTCATTAAGGGCGAGAGCATAAAGTATCACAGCGTCGTGAAATGCACCAACAAAACTGTTCACCTAGTACGAGATTACAACGAGATTACATGTGATCCATCATAAACGATATTTTCTAAATTTTGAAATTATCACGGAAAACTGAAATAAATATAAATTTTACTAATTCAGATACATGTATAAGAGTAAACAAATGATTTTTTGGTTGATATTTTGAATTATATACATGTAATATAGAAAATGCTGAACTTTGATATCTTTTACTTTAATAATGATTCATAGTTCCCCTGCTGGAGTAAGAACTCACAACAAGTTGGCCTACATCAAAAGAATTGTGTCAAAGGTATAAAACTAGTTTTGTGTCTAAAAAATACTATCTAACTTTAATCCATAAACATTTCTAAATAATATAATATAACATTATTGGTTAATGTAAATGAAAGTAATTTACATTCTGTATGGAAATTAGTTGGACCATTTAATATGTTTTCATGTGAAGAAGTGCGCTTAAACACATGATTATATATATTGTACTGTAGTGACGTAATGATGATATCACGAACCTCATCCTCGCCGTAAGTGAAGCTGTCGTTTCCGGCTCGCTTTTTGACTTCCTCGGAGAAGCCTCGGTAGGCTGGACTCGTTGGTTTCCGTAGAGTTACCGTCATCAGGGCCTCGTAGGCTTTCCTTGCCTTCTGGTTTCGGTCCAGGGTGTCGTTCTCCCTGTACCAGGGTTTCTCACTATCTTCTTTACTGTTTTAATAAATAACATCTTCTTTAGTGTTCATTTACAGTAATGTTGGAATTTTTTTTGAGATATATTTTTCTACATCGGTATGTAATGTTTTTTTTTTTAGTTTCACAACTTTATTTAAATATTACGATGCGATATATCAATAGGATCGTTTCACACGATAATTATGCCTTTTAATAATGTTTGTCAATAATTATACAATAGCTTTAATTTCAAACGGAAACAGATCACTTGAGCTTGCGCATTTCCCACGTAATTAGGAAAAACAGAGGACTTTCAAGCACAAATGTACTATTCTGCAATATGCATCCTGTCTGTGTACTTCACGCAAGTACTGGAATTTGATCGGTTGGTCGCCACCTTTGAATGTTATATGTTTATTGTACCAGAATATGGAAGGGAATTACCGCCAAAAGTCTATTTATCTTGCTTTTATTCTTATTCTGCCTACTTCTTTATTCTTTGTTATTATTGTAACTATATGTCACTTTATTGTTTTCATATTCGTCTTTATTACATTTCACTTCGAACTTTTTTCATTCTTCATTTTGTCCTTACTTCTATGTTGCTTTATTCTTGTAAATTCGGTCTTCTTTCTTTTATATTGATACAGTTTCTTTAATAAATAATTATGATCATCTCTATTACAAATGTAAATTCAGTCACGCAAACCATGAAGCGTATTCAACGAAGACGAATATAAGTATTGTGAATTTAATGCGGCATTATAACGCTAGGTGGCAGGGTGTTCGCTGCGAGTGTTGGTAAAATTAGGTACGCAAACCCGGGCCGAGGTTATTCGAGATTTTTCAAATTTCTGCCTTAATACTTTATCAATCGAACCCAAATTTTCAAGTTATGTTAGTTATAGGTTTATTAGTATAAGCGGTAAAATTGTCCCGAAATGCTCAATATTTTAGATTTTCTCGAAGAAAATTATTTGATTTCCAAGTTTTTGGAAGGCAGTATCAAGCTGACATTTTTAGTGGGTTTTTTTTTTGACAAAAAGCTAATAAATCTATAAATTATTCTGATGCTAAACAATATATTTTAACTATTTATAAGCATTTCTTCTTTCAAATGTGCTTTTGTTGCTTTAAATAACACGTTTTAAGAAAATCTGGGTCATTAAAACCGGACCAATGATGAAAACTCCAAAATAATTGTGTATTTTCTGTCACCTGAAAAATATAAGTAACTCTATTCAAGTTATTTGTTGGATGATTGAATTTCAGTTTTATTGATATAAAAAAAAATTAAATATTTTGATAATTACTAGTATACCCTAATAAATTGAGTTGTTTTTCAGGACCCCTATATATTCTTCCACTGAACTGACATTTCTTTATTTCAGGATAATAACTGTTCATGCGCAGTTGCTTGATTCTGGGGACCGCGGGGCTAGTCTGGTTTCGGCCAACCCATAATGCAATGCTCTGCAAAGTAGTGCGGTACGTCATGGGTAGGCGTGGCCGGAACCAGGCTAGACCGGGGCATACTAGAAACTTCCCCCGGTTTTTATGAAAATATGTATTGATTTTTTGTATAGAAATAGCACTTTTCAATAAAGAAATAAATATCTCTAGTAAGCACACAGTGTTTGACATCAGAATAACTCAAAAAATTATTTTGTCAATGTCTCGTTTGGCAAAAAATACGTAAAATGTCGGCTTGATATTGCCTACCCATCTTAGCAAATTGAAGTCAAAAATCGCCAAAAAATACTCTAAAATATTGAGATTTTCAAAATTTAAATACATGAATATAAATATTGGCAATTTTTACAGCGAATACAGATAAAACTTAGAGACGTAGCATTGTTTTTGAAAGGGGCAGCCAGAGAAAAAAAAATAACTTACCTAAAAATCTTGACAAGCAAAAAAAAAAAAACAAACAAACAAACACACAAACAAACAAAAAAGAGAAAAATTCTTCAAACTCGAAAATTTTATGTGGGGGGAGGGGGTCCAACTTCTTTCAGTACCAAATTTTACTCATACGTCACTACGTATATGGCCCTTATTTGACTAAACTACAACAAAAAGTGGGAGGGGGTCAACCAGACTTTCATTGAACATTTCAGTAGTAAAAAGTTATGGCTAGAAAAATGTTTGGTGGCCAGCCCCCCCCCCCCCCCCCCGCTACCGGTGTCAGATTGTGAGACTTACCCCATAGTGAGTCTTCCCCCCGGAAGTCTTGCTATATAGTGACACTTCCCTTCCGGGGGGGGGGGGAGGGGGCAATGACTATATAGTGAGCCTTCCGCCCTAAACGACCATAGTGAGACTTCCCCTTCCGTGTTTGGTCAGTTTCGATTTTATTTACATCGACGATGTATATATTGCATATTTAGGTAATGATCTTATATAACAAGAGGCCCATGGGCCGTATATCGCTCTTCTGATAAACTGTACAACCTATCACTTCTATTTGAAGCCTCGAAGTATCCTGTATATTTAGATAAACCCTTGAAATTCCAATTCATAATCTGAGAACCCAAGATGATTCTAAGCCAATTAGTACCTGAGAGTTGGTCATGGTGACCTACTTATCACTTGTCATTCTCTGAAGACCCATCAACTAAGTTTGATGATTCTAAGCCAATTAATACCTAAAATATTTTTTAAAATTATAACCATAAAATTTTATAAGTAGGTCAAAGTGACCTACTTTTCAATTGTTTTACTCCAAGGACCCAAGATGCAAAAGTTTGATGATTCTAAGCCAATTAGTACCTGTAATATTTAATTAAAGCCATAAATTTTCAAAAGTAGGTCACCGTGACCTACTTTTCAGTTGCTGTACTCCGAGGACCAAAGATACATCGACTGACAAGTTTGATGATTCTAGCCAATAAGTACCCAAAATATTTAATTACAGCCATAAATTTTCAAAAGTAGGTCACAGTGACCTACTTTTCAGTCAACCTACTCCGAGGACCAAAGATGCATCAACTGACAAATTTTGACGATTCTAAGCCAAATAATTCCTGAAAATATTAAATACAGCCATAAAATTTCAAAAGTAGGTCACCGTGACCTACTTTTCAGTTGTTGTACTCCGAGGACCCAAGACGCATCAACTGACAAAGTTTAATGATTCTAAGCCAATTAGTACCCGAAATATTTGACTAAAGCCATCAATTTTCATAAGTAGGTCACCGTGACCTACTTTTCAGTTGTTGTACTCCGAGGACTCATGACGCTTAAACTGACAAAGTTTTATGATTCTAAGCCAATTAGTACCCAAAATATTTTATTAAAGCCATAAATTTTCCGAAAGTATGTCATGGTGACCTACTTTTTAGTCGACCTACTCCGAAGACCCATGAGGCATCAACTGACAAAGTTTGATGATTCTAAGCCAATTAGTACCCAAAATATTTAATTAAAGCCATAAATTTTCAAAATTAGGTCACGGTGACCTACTTTTTAGTCGACCTACTCTGAAGACCCAAGATGCATCAACTGACAAAGTTTGATGATTCTAAGCCAATTAGTACCCAAAATATTTAATTAAAGCCATAAATTTTCTAAAGTAGGTCACTGTGACCTACTTTTTAGTCGACCTACTCTGAAGACCCAAGAGGCATCAACTGACAAAGTTTGATGATTCTAAGCCAATTAGTACCCAAAATATTTAATTAACGCCATAAATTTTCAAAAGTAGGTCACTGTGACCTACTTTTTAGTCGACCTACTCCGAAGACCCAAGATGCATCAACTGACAAAGTTTTATGATTCTAAACCAATTAGTACCTGAAATATTTAATTATAGTCATATAAATTGAAAAGTAGGTCACGGTGACCTACTTTTCAGTTGACCTTTTTGAGGACCCAAGATGCATCAACTTACAAAGTTTTATGATCATAGGACTTAAAATGTCCAAATTATGCCTCTAAAACGCTTTGAAATCGAATGCCTGCAAAGTTCAAAAAGAAGGTCACTGTGACCTACTTTTTAATAAATATGTTTTATGGCCCCAAGATGCATCATCTTACAAGATTTAATGATTCTAAGCCTCCCCGTATTCGAATTAATGACCTTAATTGTTTTAAAAAAGATTAGCCATAAAATTCAAAAAGTAGGTCAAGGTGACCTACTTTTTAGTTGACGTACTTTGAGGACCCAAGATGCATCAACTGACAAAGTTTGATGATCATAGGCCTTAAATTGTTCAAAATATGCCTCTAAATCATTTTGAAAAAGAATGGCCGCAAAATTTAAAAAGTAGGTCACCGTGACCTACTTTTGAGTCAACATGATATGAGGTCCTTATATGCACCAACTGACAAGATTTGATGGTCCTAGTCCTTATAGTAAGCAAAATATCAACATTTTAATAAAATGTAATTTTTGGTCAACTTTGAAGTGACCTTGAGACCACACCCTTTGCCCCAGGGTAAATCCCCGTGCAAATTTTAATCTACAACATATTCTCATCCTTTTGTGTAAGTTTGGTGATAATCTGCCCAGTGGTTCTTGAGAAGAAGATTTTTTAGCAACCAGTACTTTTGTTTCTATTTTCCTAATTATCTCCCCTTGTTAAAGGGTCACAACCTCAGTTTTAGTATAAAAGGGAGCCCTTGGGCCAAGGATACCCTGTGACAAATTTGACAATAATTGGCCAAGGGGTTCTTGAGTTATTGCCCATATTCTAAAAATTTTACGCACACCGCACACCGCACAAATGGCCATAGCATTAGCTCTTTGAGCCTTTGGCTCAGAAGAGCTAAAAAAAAGATGAATAGTTTCAAATGAATCAATATAAAAGTGCGCATTAAAATTTATCGTGCACAGCAGATTAAAGCATTATTCCGAGACGATTCTTATCAGAAGAAAAAAAGACATAATTAGTTTAACAGTAAAGAGGTCATTACCCGTAGAAACGTGCAAATTTACCTATGTTTACCTGCATGGTTAAGAAGTTTTAATTATAAAAATCACTATTAAAATGTTTTAATTATTTATTCATATATTTATTTATTCATTCATATAGGACGGATTACTTTTATCCAAACACTGAAAACGTTAGTATAAAAACATTGTTTTACAATAAAAAAAAAATACTCGGAAACTAAATTAAAGGGGGAAGTTTCGCTATGAAGGGGGAAGACTGACTATGTAGTGAGACTTTCCCCTGGAGAAGTCTCACTATATAGGTAGTCTTCCGGGGGAAGTCGTACCATCTAGACAGCCTACAGGGGGAGCGACACCGGGTACATGTCTGAACCTGTAACATACATATTTGAAAATTTGGGTTCGATTGATAAAGTATTAAGGCAGAAATTTGAAAAATCTCGAATAACCTCGGCCCGGTTTGCGTACCTAATTTTACCAACACTCGCAGCGAACACCCTGCCACCTAGCGTTATAATGCCGCATTAAATTCACATTACTTGTATTCGTCTTCGTTGAATGCGCTTCATGGTTTGCGTGACTGAATTTACATTTGTAATAGAGATGGTCATAATTATTTATTAAAGAAACTGTATCAATATAAAAGAAAGAAGACCGAATTTACAAGAATAAAGCAACATAGAAGTAAGGACAAAATGAAGAATGAAAAAAGTTCAAAGTGAAATTTAATAAAGACGAATATGAAAACAATAAAGTGACATATAGTTACAATAATAACAAAGAATAAAGAAGTAGGCAGAATAAGAATAAAAGCAAGATAAATAGACTTTTGGCGGTAATTCCCTTCCATACCAGAAATCGATCAGTCCAGTACATTATGATTTTTTAGCAGGTTATTTTCTTTGTTTGTTGTGTACAGTCTGTATTCTAGTCATTAAGTTTATTCAGTACTCTGTACTATATTTTAACATGTAAATTTACTCTAATTCTCTAGGTCTTTATCGTTTCTACCACCGAGTACAGAAATTTTAGGTCATATATCACAGGCACTTGTTTCGTATACGGGGCACCCCCTACTTATTATTTTTACCATAAGGTACCTAACTCAATTCCAGGCACCCCCGCTTCAAGCTCGTATTTTGTTAATATATCAATCATTAACCTACTTTAAAATGACATCGTTCGCTTCGAGAGACTTTTTCTTGTCACTTAAATCGTTTCAGAGACTTCCGAGTATTCCTTTCAGAGGTCTCTGGTTTTATCCTACATTTATAACCCCAACCGGAAGTTTTGTATCCCATCTAAAGTCTTATTTTGTATCGAGGTAATTTTCGAAGAATAAATGAGTGGTTTACAATAAAGAGGCTCAACCAGAGACGTCTGAAACGATTTAATTAACAAGAAAAAAGTTTCTCGAAGCGAACGATGTCATTTTAAAGTACCCGGTAGGTTAATGATTGATATATTAACAAAATACGAGCTTGAAGCGGGTATTCCTGAAATTGAGTTAGGTACCTTGTGGTAAAAATAATTAGGGGGTGCCCCGCATACGACACAAGTGCCTGTGTCATATATATATATTTACTAAGGGATATAGAACATATAGCGAGATTGCATCTTGACTTCGAGAGATCAAGGGTTTCGAGAGATTGAGATGTCGAGAGATGTAAATTCGCTTAGTTAATAAGGGAACAAGATGTGTTCGTGAAACACTGATGCTCCCGTATGGCAGCTTATGACGAAGGTTAAAGTTTCTCAAATGCAAGTCAAAATCCAGGCCAAAAGATAAAAAATGTTGGTACCCAAAGAAAGGTCTTGTCTCGAGGAATACACATGTGAAATTTGAAAGCCCTAGCTGCAACTGTTCAAAAGTTATGGCGAAGGTTAAAGTTATTTAAAAGTAAGTAAAACGTCAAGGTCAAGGTCAAAGTTGTTGGTATGCAAAGGAAGGTGATGTCACAAGGATTACATATGTGAAGTATGAAAGCTCTAGCACCAACCATTCAAAAGTTACGGCCAAGGTTAATGTTTTTCGAAAGTAGGTCAAACTCCTATGTCACGGTCAAAAGGCCAGTGGTTGGTATCCAAAGGAAGGTCTTGTCACAAGGATTACATATGTGAAGTATGAAAGCCCTAGCACCAACCATTCAAAAGTTATGGCCAAGGTTAAAGTTTTTCAAAAGTAGGTCAAACTCCTAGATCAAGGTCAAAGAGGTTGAAATACAGAGGAAGGTCTTGTCACAAGGAATACACATGTGAAGTTTGAAACCCCAAGCACTAACTGTTCAAAAGTTATGGCCAAGGATAAAGTCTCATAAAATTTTGCAAAAGTGGGTCAAACTCCAAGGTCAAGGTCAAATATGATGGTACCCAAGGAAAGGTCTAGTCACAAGGAATACACATGTGAAATATGAAAGTCATATCTCCAATCAATCAAAAGTTACGGACAAGGTTAAAGTTGACAACAGACAGACAGACAGACAGGACAAAAACAATATACCCCCGGGATCTTTCGATCCAAGGGCATAAAAATCGGGACTGGAGACTCACTTCGAGCGATCAAGAACTTGGAGAGATTAACTGTAATTCTTTAGGTCTAGTATCTTAACATTGTATGGGTACAGTTATTTTGTCGGTGTCTGTACCACATCTAGCATTGATAACAGTAATTTTGTCCGTCAATACAACATCTACAATTGAGTACAGTAGTTCTGTACGATATCTACCTTTAAGTACTTAAATTCTGTAGATCCTGTACCATATCTAACATTTTGTACATTATTCTGTCGGTCTGTATCATACCTACCATTATGTACATTAATTTGATCCTGCTGTACGATATCTAAAATTGGATAGAGTATTTTTTTCGGTCTGTTCAATACAAATACCATTAAGAACAGTAATTCTGCCGACCTGTATGCCACATTCAACTAATTGAGTTCAGTAATTAATAAGTCTATACCACATTTTACTAAAGAGTGCAGTAATTCAGTAGGTCTATGCCACATGTACTTATTGAGTGTAGTAATTCTGTAGGTCTATGGCACACTGTACTAATTAAGTGCAGAAATTCTGTAGGTATATGCCACATTTATTGACTGGGTGCAGTAATGATGTAGGTCTTTGCCACATTTCAGTAATTCTGTAGGTCTACACCAAATTTTACTTATTGAGTTCAGTAATTCAGTAGGTCTATGCCACATTTTACTGATTGAGTGCAGTAATTCTGTTTGTCTATGCCACATTTTACTGATTGAGTGCAGTAATTCTGTAAGTCTATGCCACATTTTACCGATTGAGTGCAGTAATTCTGTTTGTCTATGCCACATTTTACTGATTGAGTGTAGTAATTCTGTTTGTCTATGCCACATTTTACCGATTGAGTGCAGTAATTCTGTTTGTCTATGCCACATTTTACTGATTGAGTGTAGTAATTCTGTTTGTCTATGCCACATTTTACCGATTGAGTGCAGTAATTCTGTTTGTCTATGCCACATTTTACTGATTGAGTGCAGTAATTCTGTTTGTCTATGCCACATTTTACTGATTGAGTGCAGTAATTCTGTTTGTCTATGCCACATTTTACTGATTGAGTGTAGTAACTCTGTTTGTCTATGCCACATTTTACCGATTGAGTGCAGTAATTCTGTTTGTCTATGCCACATTTTACCGATTGAGTGCAGTAATTCTGTTTGTCTATGCCACATTTTACTGATTGAGTGTAGTAATTCTGTTTGTCTATGCCACATTTTACCGATCGAGTGCAGTAATTCTGTAGTTCTATGCCACATTTTACTGATTGAGTACAGTAATTCTGTTTGTCTATGCCACATTTTACCGATTGAGTGCGGTAATTCTGTAGTTCTATGCCACATTTTACTGATTGAGTACAGTAATTCTGTTTGTCTATGCCACATTTTACCGATCGAGTGCAGTAATTCTGTAGTTCTATGCCAAATTTTACTGATTGAGTACAGTAATTCTGTTTGTCCATGCCACATTTTACCGATTGAGTGCAGTAATTCTGTAGTTCTATGCCAAATTTTACTGATTGAGTACAGTAATTCTGTTTGTCCATGCCACATTTTACTGATTGAGTGCAGTAATTCTGTTTGTCTATGCCACATTTTACTGATTGAGTGCAGTAATTCTGTAAGTCTATGCCACATTTTACTGATTGAGTGCAGTAATTCAGTAGGTCTATGTCACATTTTACCGATTGAGTGCAGTAATTCTGTAGTTCTATGCCACATTTTACTGATTAGAAATTTAGTAGACCTATTCCACAGTAATTCTGTAGATCTATGCCACATTTTACTAACTGAGTGCAGAAATTTAGTAGACCTATGCCACAGTAATTCTGAAGATCTATACCACATTTGAATACTGAATACAGTAATTCTGTAGGTCTTTGTTACATTTTACCGAGTATAGGACTTCTGTAGGCTTATGACACATTTTATTGACTGACTGCAGTAATGCTGTCGATAAATGCTCTTTACTTACCTGCTAAATAGGTCAATGTTGAGGAAGACATATTCTCCGTTATCAAAGTTGAGTTCGTTGGCTTTTATCATGATCTCTCTGACTGAATCTGCCGAGGCACACAGTACCACAACTGAAAAGAAGATACTAGGCTTTATATATATGTACACGTAATGATAAGTCCAGAAGACTAGGACACGCTGGATCACGTCGCTCAGGGGTAAAAATTAATGCACACAGCATTATTTTGATTTCAAAATATTAATTCAAAACAAATGAATGAGCACAGAGTCAGTGTGGTTGGTGATAAGTATAAAGGAATGAGAAGTACAGAGGCCTATAGACCTATACGTACAATAAAAGGAACAAATGTCCTGTTCAACTATAATTACGCTTTGATTCTTAGATCACTCAACCACCCAAAGTAAAGAAACTCGGTTTTAACAAAAAATGTCACAAGAATAAGAATTGTGTAATAGTTGTCATATAATTTCTAATTTTTGGCTTGTAAGAAATTTACTACAAAGGTAATTAATGTACAATTGAGAAAGTATATATAGAAAATCAATGTATGACAAAGAACCAGTAGAGACAGATTAAGTGTCAATATCAATAGTCGTGATACGGTATCACTCAGTGATCGTGTCAGTAATATAATTATGCAATGTCACTTTTTACATACTATCTTTGTAATCGTGTAGTGACGTGTACACAACACTTCATGTCCACAGGCGCTGACGTCATATTTTGTCAAAAATATAACTTATTACAAATTAAACTAATAAATAACAAGGTACACATCGCCACCATGAATTTTTCCTAAACAGTAAAATATCAAGGGCTGTTATATTTTTTCCCCTTAAAACTAGATATTAAGAATTCTCGCTACGATATTCATCATTCGGGACAGAGCAATCGAAGGGGGGCATCATGCGTGTAATAAATAGACTGAGGAGTATTCGATGTTTTGTAGATGAATATGGGATCACGAGTGGGACAGGATTTTTTTTATATTTTCACGAGTGCCAAGCACGAGTGATATAAATTCAATATTCATATACAAAACATTGAATTTTCTGTTTATTACATTTTCTTAGATTTTCCCTTTGCCTCCGCTTTTCGTAACACAGTGTCATAGGCTGTGACGTCATAGTTGAGCGGTTGAGACGTCATAGCTAAGCGATTGCGAGATTGAAAAACGTTGTAAACATGGTTTTTTAACGACATATTTGGAAAAACATTGGCATGCAGTATAACTATTAGTCTCTGTAAGGATGGTTCATTAACTCTAATATCTTATAACAGGCAAGGGATTTTTTAAAAAAAAAACACTCTTCGTAAAGGGAATGAAAATCGTAAGTTTTGCCGCACTTCTGATATTCTCATACTGTGAGAATACCGTTCTGATATCCTTTCACACTTTGTCAGAATATCACTTTTATTCTGTAAATAAATTACAGTATTTCACTGTTGAAAATGTAATAAAACAGCTTGTTATATGTTACATCTGTATATCTTTCTTTAATATTACATCGTTTTTCACTTCGCCAGAGCTCTAATTTTTTTTTTTTTCTGTAAATGCAAACACATTGCTATCATACTTCGAATTTCAAGAATATTTGTTGTCTAATGTGTCATCAAGCAGAAATCTTTGTATATTTCTTGTTATCTACTGTAATTTCAAATTTAGTTAGTCAATATTTATTGTTTGATCACCTTCAACCGCCGTGTTTGTCGTTCTGATTCGCCATGTTTGTCGTTTTTGATTCGTAATATAGAGGACAATGTTACCGGTCATTGACCTTCTCAGATTCTTCTTCTCTTCACGGCGGATTTATAATACAAACAATGATATTCTGTGTATCAAAAATATAATCCACTGAATCTAAGTTATAGAGTGTTTGCATTAGTGGGTGACAGCTTAAATTATCTAAAAGCATGCGTCATCAATCACTACACGTCACATCCGGAAAATGAACCCAAAGGATATATCTGTCGGCGAACTAAAATACTGATCTATTTAATTATAAAAAAAAAGAAGAAGACAAAATTGGATCTACTGCCTCAATCTGTGGTAAGGGACTGGTGATTTGAGTCGTTTGATTTAGTGCTTAATGAGAATATATCGCTAAGTTCTTAATGATCTTCCGATTCTCGAACACAAGGGGGTGTACTGTACGATAATACCCCCTACCTCATATAATTAAATTAAAAGTAATCAATCAAATTGCATAACGCACAAAACACGTGGCATTTCATTTCCATTTGGATGCTCAAGAATCTTCAAGATTCCTATAAAATGTTTCTAATGCACGTCACTGTATAGGTTATATGTAGGCTTTCAAGAAGAAACTTTATTTGATGCCGTTTTTCTAAATCCTCTATCTATCCACAACTTAGCTTGAACAGTCTCTTCCTAGACAGTATAAGAAATCCCGTCAGTCAGGAATGACATTTTGTAGCCATCCTACTCTCAAGCAAATAATTGTTTCTCATCAAAACCCAAATTTAAACATTACACTTGAAACATGTTTCAAAGTGAAGGCATGTTTCAGTGTAATTCTTACACCATTGAAGACATGTTTCCAAGTACTCAATTCAATTGAAAACATGTTTCAGTGTAATTATATATGCTTCAGTGTAATTTCAGTGCAATTATATTATTGAAACATGTTTCAGTGTAAACAGTTCGACTTAAAATATGTTTCTGCCTAATTCATACAACTGATTTCAAACGTTTCAAAGTAAGTTATACATTTGAAAACATTTTTCAGTGTACATTTTACAATTGAAAACATGTTTCAGTGAAGTTTATTCCTACAAATAAAAAAAATAATTTGAATACCGTAAATCACTTATTCGCAAGAACTTTACTAATTATGGAAGTCTGTCTGCTCGCCAAAATATTATTCTCGCTTAGATTTTTATTGTTAATTATTATATACAATAAAAACCACAGCTCGCGGAAATTTTGTCTCGCTTATAAATATATATACCAACTAGATGAGATCTCGTTGCGAGCAACGAGTAGGTCTTCCGTCCGATTTTTCGATAAGATGAGATATGATTTTCACTATGATCTTTGTTAAAAGATGATAATATATATAGACTTCCCTAATTAGATATCAATCCTTTGATTTATATACAATATCAAAGAGCTATCGATGAATTGCTTTTGGCCCCTCTGAACCCCTAGTTTGAGGGGTCAGCCCCTTTTTCTTGATATCAATTGAAAGATCTTGTGATTTTGAAAACGTTTTGTTCAACAACTATTCAGAGATTTCTTTTCGTTGTGGAAATATGCTGAATGGAAATATTTAGGGGCCACCCCACCAAGTCCTTAATGGGGCCGTTTGACGGAAATTGAAAGGGTGCATATTGTTTAAAATATTATTCTGACCATATTTTGTTCAGTATTGCTTATCAAAATATTCCCCCTTTTCGAGATATAAAACATCAAAAATTTAGTATTCTGGCCCCTTGTGACTCCTCATTACATAAAATATGATCAGAATCTTATCATATATTGTTGTAAATCCTTAAGATAAGCATCTTTGCTTCAGTAATGTATTACAAATTATCTATCGTTAAAGACTTATAGGTTGAAGACTTTTGGCCCCTCTGAGCTCCTAATTTGAGGTGTCAGCCCCATTTTCTTGATATCAAATGAAAGGTCTTGTGATTTTGAAGACTTTTTGTTCAACAACTATTCAGAGATACTTTTCGTTATGGAGATATGCTGAATGGAAATATTTAGGGGCCACCCCTCCAGGTCCTTAATGGGGTCGTTTGACAAAAATTGAAAAGGTGCATATTGTTTAGGACATTATTCTGAACATCTTTTGTTCAGTATTGCTTATCAAAATATTCCTCCTTTTCGAGATATAAAGCGTCAAAGATTTAGTTTTCTGGCCCCTTGTGACCCCTTATTACGTAACATATGATCAGAATCATATCATATATTGTTGTAAATCGTTAAGATAAGCATCTTTGCTTCAGTAATGTATTAGAAATCATTGATCGTTAAAGAGTTATAGGTTGAAGACTTTTGGCCCCTCTGAGCCCCTAATTTAAGGGGTCAGCCCCTTATTCTTCATATGAAATGAAAGATCTTGTGATTTTGAAGACTTTTTGTTCAACAACTATTCAGAGATTTCTTTTCGTTATGGAGATATGCTGAATGGAAATATTTAGGGGCCAGTCCTTCAAGTCCTTAATGGGGCCGTTTTGCAAAAATTGAAAGGTTGCATATTGTTTAGAACATTATTCTGACCATCTTTTGTTCAGTATTGCTTATCAAAATATTCCTCCTTTTCGAGCTATAAAGCGTCAAAGATTTAGCATTCTGGCCCCTTGTGACCCCTTAATATGTAACATATGATGAGAATCTTATCATATATTGATGTAAATCGTTAAGATAAGCAACTTTGCTTCAGTAATGAATTTCAAATTATTGATCGTTAAAAAGTTAACGATGAAAAACTTTTTGCCCCTCTCAGCCCCTAGTTTGAGGGGTCAGCCCCTTATTCTTGATATCAAATGAAAGGTCTTGTGATTTTGAAGACTTTTTGTTCAACAACTATTCAGAGATTTCTTTTCATTGTGGAGATATGATGAATGGAAATATTTAGGGGCCACCCCTCCAAGTCCTTAATGGGGCCGTTTGACAAAAATTGAAAAGGTGCATATTGTTTAGAACATTATTCTGACCATCTTTTGTTCAGTATTGCTTATCAAAATATTCCCCCTTTTCGAGATATAAAGCGTCAAAGATTTAGTTTTCTGGCCCCTTGTGACCCCTTATTATGTAACATATGATGAGAATCTTATCATATATTGATTTAAATTGTTAAGATAAGCATCTTTGCTTCAATAATGTATTACAAATTATTGAACGTTAAAGAGTTAACGATGAGAGACTTTTGGCGCCTCTGAGCCCCTAATTTGAGGGGTCAGTCCCTTTTTCTTGATATCAAATGAAAGGTCGTATCATTCTGCACAACTTTTCTTCTATATGTTTTAACAAATTCTTAACATGTATGAAGATATGAAAGAAAAGGTGTAAAATTTTGTGAGATGTTTCTGAGACATTTTTTGAGCCCTACCGAGCTTCGGCGCCTTTTGCGCTAGAGA